CCCGCCGCATGCGGGGCCTCTTCTTCTAGGGGGGACAGGACACTGGGGACCCCCTAAGCCATGCCCTGAAGCCCGCCCTGGGCCTGGGGGACTCCAGACCAGGACTGCGGCCCCCTGTCCTGGAGACTCCCCCAATAAATCGGCGCCAGGATGGGAATTGTGGCTCCGGCCTCGTGCAATGCCCTGGGAGAGCTGGGACCAGGTGAGCGTGGTCCTAGGGGGGGTAATGGGGGCCCAAGGGGGGGAACTTGGGCCCAGGGGTGGGGACCAGGCTGGTGGTGCCACCAAAACCAGTAAGAAAAGCCTTTTTATTGGTAAAAAAAGCACTTAACAAGATGCTGTAATGAGGGGAGCAGGACTGGGGCAGGTGAAGGGCCATGAGACGCAGCAGAGACACGGGACATGTCCCCGTGTCCGGCTGCATCCCTGCACAGCCCCTGCCCCATGGGGGGGCTGCAGGGTGGCCCCACGTGTCCCCCACCTCAGACGAAGGTGATGCGAGTGCGGGCGGGGTTGACCTGCAGCACGTTGAGCTCCTCGTACTCCTGGAGCGCGGCCTGGACCTGTGCAGGGGTGAAGCCCTTGGCCAGGCAGCGCTGCAGGGCCTCGGCATAGGGCACGGCCCGGCCCTGGCCCCCCGCCAGCTCCCGCACCGCCGCAAAGATGGCGTCGGCCGGACGTTGCACCCTGGGGCGGGGAGGACACGAGAGTCAGGGGGACCCTGGCACTGCCACCTGCTCCCCACCCATCCCACGGCGACCGCAGGGTCAGGGCTCCCCCAGTGCTGCCACCCCCTTTCCTGGCAGGCTGGGGCCCAGGGAGGGGCACTGTCCCCTGCTCACCGGCTCTGCTGTCCCTTGTCCCCCAGCAGCGAGTCCTTTGACATCTCCATGAGCCTCATGGCCTCGTTCACGTCCTCTTTCTCCACCACGTCCACCAGGCGCAGCCGGGCCTGTGGGAGCAGGGGGGGTTTAGCAGCAACCGGGACCCTGCCCAGTGCAGCCACTGGCACCCTGTGACATCGCCCGGGTGCCCCCTGAGACCACTGGAAGCCCTGCCGGTACGCTTGCCCCTGTCCTGGGGGCTACCTGCCCGTCCCTGCCCGCGCCGGGGCTCACCAGGGCGGTGGCCAGGCGGAGGATGCCCAGCAAGGTGCGCGCTGAGGTGTAGGTCGTGTCCTTGCTGGCCCAGGCCTCCTTCCGCATCTCCACGTAGGCGGCCGTGATGTAGTCGGCCAAAGCCTCCGGCACCACTGGCTGCTTCCGCTTGCACATGGCGATGTAGCGCCTGGGGGACAGGCAGGGTGAGGGGACAGCGGGGGCGGGGGGACGGGGACAGAGCCAGCAGAGACTCGCGGCCTCTCTCACCTCATGAGCTTCATGTCAAGCTGCTGGAAGGAGCAGGGGGGCTGGCGGCTGTGCTGGTGCACGTAGGTGATGTGCTGGGCCAGGCTGTGGGGCAGAGAGGGGCTGGCAGCGGGGCCGGGGCTGCCACCCCAGGGCACCCCTCAGCCGTCCCCCCTGCTCCCCCTGCTCACCGCAGGTCGTTGTCGCGGTCGGGGCGGTCCTGGATAAGCCAGAGCAGGTCAAAGCGGGAGAGGAGGGCGGCGGGCAGCTGGATGTTGTGCTCCAGGCTGCGCTTGGGGTTGTAGCGGCCATAGGCGGGGTTGGCGGCGGCCAGGATGGCACAGCGGGCGTTGAGGGTGGCCAGCACGCCCGCCTTGGCAATGGAGATGCTCTGCTGCTCCATCACCTCGTGGATAGCCGTGCGGTCGGCCTCCAACATCTTGTCGAACTCATCAATGCAGCAGACGCCCCGGTCGGCCAGCACCAGTGCGCCCCCCTCCAGCGCCAGCTCCCCCGTCAGGGGGTCCCGCAGCACGGCCGCCGTCAGCCCCACGCCCTCGGAGCCCCGGCCTGTCGTGTACTGGCCTGGGGGCAGAGGAGAGCGGTGGAGTGAGGCAGGGGGCGCGGGCACCCTCCGCCCCCAGGAGCCCGGTACTCACTGCGGGGTGCCAGGCGGTCGATATAGGACAGGAGCTGCGACTTGGCCACACCGGGGTCGCCCATGAGGCAGATGTTGATGTTTCCTGGGGGCAGAAGTGGGAGAACAAATCTGCTCCCTCTGTGCCACTTTGCTGTGCCCCCATCCCAAATCTCTCAGCTGCGGCTGCCGATTCCCTCCATCCCCCCCCTGCCGATTCCCTCCATGGTCCCACAGGGCCAATCCCATCCCCCAAACCTGCCTATGTGAAGCAGGATGCCCTGATCCCGAACCTCCCGGACCCTTGGCTGATCCCGGACCCCCAGGCCTTCCTCCAGGATGGGGGGACAGCCCTGGCAAAGGTCCCCACCCCAGCACAGCGTGCGGCCTCACCCCGGATCTTCATGCCGTGGGGGTTGCGATCCACGCCGCCCACCAGCAGCAGCAGCAGCGCCTTCTTCACGTCGTCGTGGCCGTAGATCTCGGGGGCGATGGAGGAGGCCAGCTTGTCGTAGAAGTCCTCCTCTGTGAAGGCAGCGAGGGAAGCCGTGGGGCGGCTGCCTGCCCTGCCATGGGGCAGCCCCAGGCCCTGCTCACCCCCAGCTGGGCATGTCCCGGCTGCTTGATGGCCTCACCCGTGATCTGCCGGAGCTCCTCCTCGGTCAGCTCCCCAGCTCCTGACTCATCCTCCTCGCTCTTGTTCATTTTCACGATGCAGTGGGCCTCCAGGTAGGTCTCGGAGAGCAAACCCTATGGGAGAGGAGGGTGGTGGTGGGTCGGGGGCAGCCGTGGGCCCCCAACGCAGCCCCCCCACTCACTGCCTCAGTGCTCACCTGGGCCATCTGGCGGAAGCCGGTCTTCAGCAGGGGCAGGAAGACACCGGTGACGCTGACGTGGTCCCCGGGCTGGGCCAGGCGCGTGTTCTCCCCATGCACGGCCACGCTGATGGAGCGGGGAAGGTGCCCCACTGGCACCTGGTCAGTCTGTGGAGACAGACAGGGCTGGGGACCTGCAGCACTGGGGGGCACTGCCGGACTCTGCCCCCATCCCTGAACCACCCCTGCACCAGTACGGACTGGAGCAGACAAGGCAGGACAGAGCCACACAGACGCGTCACCCCCTTGTCTCTGGCGGTGACAACGCTGACCCAGGGCTGGGCTGCATTGGCTGGGGGAGGACTGTCCCCCTCCACCCCACGCTGCGGAAACCTCAGGGGGAGACTGGGGCCACCGCAGCCCCCGAGCTCCACGAAACCCTGGGGAGGTGACACAGCGGCGCTGCACCACTGCTGTTGGCTCCCTGACAGAGCCAGACCGGCCCCGGGGGAGAGCAGGGAAGGGGAGGAAGCCCAGGAGAGACGGGACCCTGCAGTTGCGGCCGGGGTTCACGGGGACACCCCAAGGTCCTGGCCCACCCCCACTCACATGCTCCTGCATCTTCAGCTCCTGGAACTTGATGAACTTGGAGCCACGGCTTTGCAGGTAGAGCCGCCCCCCCGAGCGGTTCGTCTGGCACTCGCGGCTCGGGCACATCAGCAGTGGCATGAAGGTGGGTGACTGGATCTGGGGAGAGCCGAGGGGGTGGGCTCAGGCCGACCAGGGCCCCCGCGCCCACCCCAGGACCCTTCCTCTGCGCTTACAGGCTGGTAGGTCTCAGCCCCGCACTGGTCGCAGCTGTAGGTGGCCACCACCATCATGGGCTTGACCTCGGTGACACGAGTGACGATGCCGCGGACAGTCACCAGCTTCCCAATGCAGTCGGCTTTGACGTCGCGGACCACACGGGCTTTAGCAGTGGAGGGGGCTTTGAAGTACAGCTCACTGGGGACAGGGGGGACAGAAAGGGCCGGGATCAGTGGGGAGGCAGCTGAGGCAGGGATCGGAATGGGGGATAAAAGAGGAGAGGGTTGGATTTGGGGGCAGCACACAGGGATGGAAGGGGGCCCCAGGAGAGGCAGGGAATTGGTAGTGCGGGTTAGAGAGGAGACGGGGCTCCCCGGGGACGCTGGGCAGCAGGACCGGGGTCAGAGGGGAACGCAGGGGGCGTGCGGCCCCCCCCTCGCACTCACAAGCGCCGCAGCAGCTCAGGGGGGTACTGGTTCTGGGGGCTGCGGGCATCCCCTGCGTCCCGGCCCCGCTGCTCCAGCAGCAGCCGGTGCTCGATGTACACATCCAGCACGTCCTTGCGGGACACCTGGGGACGCGGGGACATCGGAGGAGGGGGGATGTCAGAGGGGGCCGCCGGGGCACCCCCTTCACCCCCCGCCTGCCCGGGGAGCCCCCACCTCGCGCTCCTTGTAGAGCGGCAGCAGCTCATGGACGGCGTCGGCGAAGAGGCGGCTGTAGC